TACGGTGGGCGCACAGACGAAATTGCTTTTTGGCTACTTTTATACAGCGCAATGCAGACATACAATGATTTCTAAAAGTATATCTTTAATCTTTATTTCCGATGGTGTATATCTGAGAATTGATAGGGATTTGTTGAGATTTCACGAAGTTATTAAGTGATGTTTTGATGTGTGTCCATACGAGTGTCAGAAAACGATTACGCAGGTGATTAAGTGTGTGAATGATCTTCAATGTGAATCGTGTGCGTTTCCGTAGTGATTATTGAATCCTTTTGAAGTTGTTATCAATTACTGCTTAAAAACGAAATTGAATCCTTTTGAAGTTGTTATCAATTACTGCTTAAAAACGAAATTACTTTAAATGTTCCACTCACTTAAACTTTAAAAGAATGTTTGTTTTCCTTTGGCCGTGTGTTAGGTAGTTTAAATGTTCCACTCACTTAAACTTTAAAAGAATGTTTGTTTTCCTTTGGCCGTGTGTTAGGTAGTAGTTACTGGCAGGGGAATAGTTTTTATGAACGTTCAATTTGTTATCGTCACGGATTTATCGACTTTCAGGCTAGTGAATCGATGAAGCCAGGTGATTTGGACGAACAAGAGGACTTTCAGGCTAGTGAATCGATGAAGCCAGGTGATTTAGACGAACAGGAGCAACGAATATTTGAATTGATCCAAAAAAGTCAGTTCATTGTTTAATTCGATGAGGTGATGTTATTATGTGGTCGATTAGGCAGACGTGGATGAGCAGAACATTAATTTGTTCATTTCAGATGAAACCAATGAGGTGATATCATTGTTCAGGAATGGAAAGGCTCGAATCAGCTGCCTTGATGCCGTATGTTTTTTGGTGCAATTAAGCAACAATATTTTTTAGTGAGATTGTTTCCTCTAGAGTCTGCCTTGAATTATACTCTTCAGCCGTCCTTATGATTATCAAGTATAGAAAGATTAGTATGAAATCGGATTAGGAATATTAAAGACTATAACTGACAAGGAGGATTATCCAAATATTCATGGACATAATTTAAAGTATTACTTTCTATGATAAACAGATTTTCTTTAGAATGGGATGACTCCCTTGGATCAAGCGTGTTTCAAAGCGAATCAACAACTAGAGTCTGCCTTGAATTATACTCTTCAGCCGTCCTTATGATTATCAAGTATAGAAAGATTAGTATGAAATCGGATTAGGAATATTAAAGACTATAACTGACAAGGAGGATTATCCAAATATTCATGGACATAATTTAAAGTATTACTTTCTATGATAAACAGATTTTCTTTAGAATGGGATGACTCCCTTGGATCAAGCGTGTTTCAAAGCGAATCAACAACTAGTGGAATATCTCATCAAAAACGGAGCCGATCCGAACACCAATCAGCATACTCATGGCTATAGTGCTCTCATGTTTGCCGCTATTTCTGGACAACCCGGTATCTATTTGTTCACTTAGTTTTCGAATACAAATCACTCCGTCCGGCAATATTTGACCGCTGAGTCGTGTGTTGGTCAGTAGTTACCGATGGAAAGGCTCGAATCACCAGCGCATTTGATTCGAATCTTTTTTACAAACTCAAGTGTGATGTTTTAGAATTCCGTTTTCTTGAGTGTGAATTGATATGCTAGTGGCATTCCGTTTTCCCACTTTCATACCACGTTTGGCATCAGTTTGAAGAGGGTGATCTTACAGATTCAGAGGATCGAAATTATGTTTCCGATCCATTCACGAAATTAGTTATCCAGTGTTCAAAACTGAATGCGTGTGTCAGTAGGATTTGCTCTTAGAACAGATCAAAGTGAAAAGAACCTAACTAATGATTGAAGAGTTAGTTACGTGACGAGGTTGATCGTTTTGAAAATTTCAGAAAGTCCCGAAATTTGTCGTATATTATTGGATGCAGGAGCGCATGCTTACAAAACCAATTCCATCAATAAGACTGCTTCCGAAATGGCTGCATTCGTTGGTGAGTTTATTATGCTATTTATTATCGTTGTTGTCTTAATACGACCAAATTTTCCTAGTGAAGTACATAGGGCATTCTGTTTTACCAGTTCCATCAAAGAGAAAAGCGTCGAAAACGTCTGCTTAGTTAGCAGTGTTGGAATGTAGCATGGGTGCATAGATGACCAGACGTTGTGTATATGAGCTTTGCCTTCCGGAAGGAGTTTCTTGCATGCGAAATGTGATTCGGCCATTTAGTGTCTGCATTTCAGGTCAGCACGAGTGCGTAAGTGTCATCAATAACTATATTGGAATGGATGAAATAGAACGCTTGGTGCACCCCAAAGGCAAGGACAGTGAAGAAATATTTCCAGAAGAATTTTGTGTTCTAGTACATTCGATCACAAAAACACATCAAATCCATCCGGTAAAGGTGAGTTGGTTTGCCATTACTTTTTTTTNTATGTACAGTTTCAGTCCTAGAGACCGTTTACTTTTGGAACGGTTTTCCTTGTTTGTTGTTGGTGAACTCGATCTCGTCACCTCAGTGAAAAGTGTGTTTATACAGAAATCTTTAGTTGCATTCACAACTTTGTTCTGATAATTTTTAAAAATTAGGAATTGTGATGAGAGTATTTGTTCACGAAGCTGATCTTTTAGATCGTGTTCTTTGTTCACGATAATGAATTGATTCTGAATTATCGAAAAAAGTTCCTATACATAGTTGATCGATTGTTCGAACGTCAACTGCGGTGCAAGGAATCGAATGAGGTTCGTTTTTCTTTTGTCCTTTTCTTTAATCATAGTAATTAATTTAGAATCATTTTAAATGCATTTAGTTTAGGGCAAGAAGCAGTTTTAATTGATATCATTATGGTTTTTCTTCTTGAGTGACTGATGTTCCTCGATCTGTTGTTGAAGGTGATGTCTCTGAAACTGTGGCTCATCTTGTTCACGCTGAGAGAAACGCTGAAGTTTGTTGATTCGAATGCCAACTCTGGTAATTCTGTGGCGCATCTTCTACATGCATATGCGAAATTTTTGATTAAAATGGAACCCAACGAAAGGATACGACCGAATCTGGAGACTCTTCTTAGGAATGCTGTCCGTGCATTCCCCTACCATCAATCTCTTCTGTTCCAAACACTCGTGAAAGCAATCGCAGGAACAAAATTTGTAAGCTTTTTACAGTTATCAATATGATAATGATCATCATTGGTTTATAGAATTCCTCTATAATAGTGAGAATTACTGCTCATTTCATATTAGGATCGTTGCCATTCGTCAGATAATCTGACGGTTATTAAAGTTGTCATTTCTCTGACTTTGGCGTTTACTGAAATTCGTCTATTGTAAGCTGTAGACTTCCAAACAGATTTCTGTAGCTGTGCGTGCTGATCCGATCAATTTGAGATGTTTATAAAATTCACTGAAATTGTGGACTAGCAGTGATTATCGTGTTGAGTTGTCAGTAAACCAGCAGTGTTTGCAACCTTTTGAAGTTGCTCACCGATGTTTTTGATCACGTGAAAATCGATGCTTTTGAAGGGTGATCGACCGGACGCATATTTCCACGTGGCAGGAACGTTGTTCGGTCAGCGAGCAGCCGAAACATGTCTGTTTTGTGCGGTGTGCGGTGTCTCTCATGCCAGGAAACGGTGTAAGGCATGCAAGGTTAATACTTAACGTTTTTGTCGAATATTTGATAGTTTTTAAATTGTTCGTTGAAAGAATTTAGTTTTGTTGCATTTCAGAGCCGAAAATTGGAACCAGAAAAATTAATCGAAGCCTGTAAAGCTTTATGAGTTCATAATCATTTGAACTTCTTTTTATTGGTTCACCATTTATTATGCGAATGTTTTTATTTCAGTTGGGTTACTGCAGTGTCGAGTGTCAAAAATTTGACTGGCCATTTCATAAGCGATGTTGTTCGGCGATGGCCAAGATTTTAGAAGAGGAAGAAGCGAATCGTGCATCGTCGATTCAGTATATTGAAGACATACCAATCGGTAGTGAGGGTGAGGACACTGAGAATGCATCTCATGTTGACTCGAATGAAATAAAATCAGACGTGGCCCACTTAGAAGATGTTGACGTATCGGCTTTATCACTTAACGATCAATCGAAAGTATCATAAAAATTGATCGGATTTGTTGTTTTTATATGAGATTCTATTAGCTACATTCATTCCAACGAAGTGTAGCGGGTTGTTATTATAATAATTTTTTTTGGAATTGGTGATTAACGTTTTCTATGGATAATACCAAAGTGAAATTCAATTGTGTGACATCAGTTGCTTTGTTATTTTCATTTGTTGATTGTGATATCAGTTTTTTTTCATTCGTTGAATGCTTTATGTGATCGGTGTTGGAAATTTGTCATTCATTTTCTGTAAATTATTCATTTCTCTAACAGCGCATTTCTGTTAATGAAAATACTATCGTTCACTTTTTATGGCAAATCTCTCGAGTGGATTCTGTTCTATAGAAATGATTGGTTGATTCGTCGAATAAATGTTTCCTTCTCAACAAAACATTTGTTCGGCGCTACATGTTCATGAAGTTAGCGATCAGTCATAAAGCGGAATACTTTCGCTTATTTATGTAGATGTACTCAAAGTCGTATCGAATATACAAACCATTTATCACTTGCATTGAATACCGTCCATCGAAGATCATTATAATATATGAATTTGGGAACTGACTATACAATCACATCTCAAAATTTCACAGCAGTCCACTTCCTCCTTGATTTTTGGGTATAGAAACTTCAAAAAAAAAACCTGTTAGAAAGTCGTTCATTTTCACAAGACGGATCGAGTAGGTGAGTGTCGACTTAAAACTTAAGTCGACACTAAGTCTTAAGAGTTAAGTCTTAAGTCGATTTAGGTGAACAGCAATCATCGGGTTATTCTTCAATTTGTTGAGGAATTTTTAGAGTTGGTGAATGATTATTGCCCGAAGCGCAACATCTGCTTTGCCACACCTCGTTAAAACACGCTCGAGTTTCGCAAGCTTGGCAAAAATGTCGTCGGTTTTCATTGAGAGTTTGAATCCATCGACCGGTGAACGCGAATGGAAAGTGGCCGATGAAGAGTATGATTTAACACAGGAAATAGCGAGGAGTGCGTTCGGTGATATGTTGCATGATACAGAACGCAATCAGATGTTCGATAAAGCCTTACAAAATATCGTCAACGAGGTTTAATCTCGTTTATTCGATTCAATTCTTTAACCGTTTCATCATCAGTTTCCCATATTGACAGTGACATTGGCCTAAAGAAACGGTAACTTTGACTTCCTTCAAGTTCATTCGGATGGATTTGAATGAAGCCAAAGTTTTAACCGATGAGAGCAGTGCTGTGCATATCTTCGCGCATAAATAACTCTCGTAAAATGGACTGTTTGGAAGTTTCAGAATAAAAAAGTCAATGATTATCACTGCTACATTATGTACTGCTATTTCACTGATGTATTATCAGTGGAACGTATGGAAAAATTGAGATGCAATTGTGCAGTAGCATTTTCAAGCAAAGATACGCATTTTCAACGGTAATGCGAATGTGAACTGAGATAGTGATGATACTATTAATAACTAGAATAGTGAAAGTTATTATTATTGTCATTAGTATCTCAATTTTTAGTCTCATTACAATTGAGGTGCATAAACGTGGTGAGAAGGCTCGAGTTGTGGACATAGGAACTGGTACAGGTCTATTATCGCTAATGGCAGCTCGTGCTGGTGCAGAGCATGTCACTGCAATCGAAGTGTTCAAACCGATGGCTGACTGTGCTCGAAAAATCATTCGAAATAGTCAATATTCATCCCGCATCGATTTGATTTCATCTCGATCCACTGACCTATCAAAAGGTAACATCATCTACTGCTATCTTTCATCAGTCCATAAAAATCGTGATCGTGAGTGTTATGATCAATGTAAAAATTGGCTTCATTTACAGTGAAGTATAATCGTTACACATGAGAACATCCCCAATGCAATTCCTCAAATTAGCTGATAGGTGATCAGCATTCTGATAATTCACAAACCTATCACAGAGCGTGATTTTGGTGTGATGCAAAATGTACCCTGAGAATGTTACAGTGAACGTAGAGTAACGCAAGATGTTTTGATGAGTGAAATGTATTATCGGTTATCACAAATGTGCTGATGCTGTGAGCACTGCTGGTGCTGTAGCTAAATGGCTATTTTAAGAAGCCATTTAAAGGCGATGTTAGCGATAAAGGGAACATAATCGTTGCCGAGGTGTTCGATACGGAATTGATTGGTGAAGGTGCGTTACGAACGTTCAAAGAAGCGCACAACACTCTTGTTGGGGTCGGTGAAATGTTCTGTTGAAAAATTTCAAAACAAGCCATTACTTTCATTGTTTTATTGTTTTGCCAAAATTCTTCGAATTTCGAGATTAATTAAGTTATATCAGAATTGTACACAGTGCGGAAATTTTACATGAAGTAATGATTTCGTTTGTGCATTGGATCTGAATAATTTCAGGACGATTGCCGAGTTATTCCATCATCAGCGCGTGTTTGGATAATGCCAGTGCAAAGCGAGTTCCTCGCTCGGTTCCACCGAACCCCTTCAAAATCGTTTCAAACGCCTTTTGTTGACTGTCCAGGCGCGGCAGCGGTTTTTGACTTACAAATTTCGCGAGTGTCATCGGAACAAGTCGATTGTCTCTGTGATCCATTTGTTGCATTCAGGTGATTCAGAAGCTCTAACTCTTTAAGATCTCAATGATATAACAACCTTCAAGTGCTCAGAACTCCTGATCTCGTCTTGAAAGTTTGTGAATCACTTCCTTAGCTTTATTGATCCTTAATGTAAAAGTATTATTTTTTGCAGTTTCAACTTCGAAGACGCTAGTTCAATTGTGTACAACGAGTCATTTGTTCATCAGTTCAAAGTGAAAAAGCTTGGGAAGTCTCGAGTAGATGCAATTCTAATGTGGTGGGATCTCGATATGGATGGCACTGGTACTATTTGAATTCATCAAAATCCGTTCTTTCAATCGGAATGTTCTACTCGTTTCTTTCAGTAACTGCTGGCTGTTTTTCGAAAATTTAGAAGGCGATGTGTAATCGTTGTCGTACAATGGACTATTCCCGATAGCTGTAGAAACTGTCAGAAACAACTATTGGGAATTATCTGTCAGAAAGCCATGTGTATGAGACGTAATATCTCGCCTAAATTTAAGGTGAACATATACTGAGCATGGCTCCGTCATGGCTTAATAGCAAAGCGCAGTGGCGAGATCACTGGATGCAAGCAGTTTATTATCCACCAAAAAGCATAGAAGTATCCTTCGACCAAACTGTGAATCTACAATGTTCGCATGACGAATTTTCAATGTGGTTCACAGTTGAGGATACCGCTAGGTGAGCGAATTTATTTACTTCAGTATTTAAAATAGCCATTTCAGTTTGAGTTGTTTGCTAGAATGAATAATTACGCCATTCCTGTTCTGCCTAATCAAACCATTCTACTAATTAACAACAGATAAGTGTTTTCCTCAATGCAACTCGAAATGCATGCTTGGGGTTCTCTATTTGTTAAGAAAAATTGCACTTGCTGAATTGTGCGATTCGCTTAGCGTTTTATATGCATTATTTTCTTGGAAACATCTACTGGAACTCAGAATTCGATAATTTACTTCATACTTATCAACACCAAAAGCAATGAATTTCGCTGCTGAAAGAAAGAAAATATTTCAGTATCAATAAGGTAGATGCTCCGGTTTGTTCATGTGGTCTGCATGTGCTGTGTTCAAGGAATGCAATTTATCGAATGAATGAGTTGGACGCTCAAACGTCGTTCAGTAATGCAATCATGAGGGTTCGTTGCTTCGTTCGTTTGAAGGTTTATTTACGTTTAGGAACAACTAGGCCGGAATTGTTCGAGAATTTTTTATTTTTCTCGAGAATCGCTCACGAACAACTGCATTTCAGTGAATTTGAATGAACCTTTGCTTTATCGATGATAAAACTCATCTGAACTGTTTCAGGAATGCACTGGAAAATCAGTTTTGTGCATAAACGAAGGCTCATTCATAGGATTGTTGGCGTCGAAATTCGCGAACGATGTGACGGTGGTAGAGCCAAATTCACATTTTCGTTCTGCTCTTGAAGCGTATTGCCGTCTCAATGACATTGACAATGTGACGCTATTGGATACTGACGAAGAGTTCATGAAACCGGTAAAAAGTGTTTTCACCTTCATTGGACTATAACTTCCTTCAGTGACTGTCCTGATTGTAAGAAAAAGACTTCAAGGATTGACTTATCGTTAGATTTACAGCTGAAAATTATCCTGTGCAATATTTGGTTGAGAAGAGAATGAATTTACTTGAGTGTATTTCTTGAATGATCCAACTCATTTTCGATTCATTAATGCAGTGCGTTTAGTGACTTATCATTGCTTCACTTTCGATTCATTAAGAAGATCCGCCAGATGTATAGCATATATCTGAAGGATCTTTTTCATATAATGTGCCAGATAGATTTTTTTTTGATCACAAAAGATTAATTGATTAAAATTTATGTTTAAGGTTGACCTCATTCTTTCGGAGCCATTCTTTCTTTCTTCAATGTTACCGTGGAACAATTTGCGGTTTTGGTATGCAGCAGAAAAACTGAAACCCAANAAGATATCTTTTTAAGAAAGGTATTTTGTATGGGATGGCCGTAGAATTTGACGATTTGTGGAAGATCGCTGCACCAGTCGGATGTGTTGAAGGCTTTGATCTGGACCAATTCGACAAAATCTGTCAAAAAGCACGATCGGCGGTTGATGCCATTGTTGAGCCACAACCCTTATGGGAATATGATTCTATTTGCACATCAGAAGTAACGCCACTGGCGTCCTTCGATCTCAGCGAAGCAATTCCAACTGATAACATCAATTTTAGTGTTCAACTGCCACTCATCAGGCTTGTTTTATGTGTTCTTCTAATGATGAACATTCTTCACCTGAATTACTTTGTCCTGTCATTCATTGTATTCTTATTCTTACGAGAGAGAGAGCATATAACGTGTATGGCATTACTGGGAAGTTGTTTATTTTCACAGGAATACGTTCACAGAAATGCTCTTGCAGGAAAGGTACTAATGCAGTTACTTTTTGGATGGATTGGATGTTGAACGACTATCGCATGCAGAGTGGTCTCATCGAGCACTGTGAGCCTGGTCAACGACCAAAGTGGTCTGTGTCGCATCGTCAGGGTGTATTTTTTGTGCCGTCACAACGACTCAATGAGACTTTTACATGCATCAACTGTGAACTCGAATTCTGTTCAGACGATGGAAGCATTCAATTCAGTTTCTCGTTCAAATAACCATTAATCTCTGTTGGATTGCATAAAAGTCGCATAGCCATTTTGTTACTACTGTTGAATGTGTTTACAAAAACTCATTTTATTTGTTAAATTCGGTTAACGTCTCATTGAAATAGTCTGATAGCTGCTGCTGCTGCTGCTTCAGTGAATACACTCAGGGGCGTAACCAAAATTTGTTCCAGCAGAGGGACGGGTGCAGCGCCGATCTGAGGCAGATTTTTTTGGGTTTATTTTCTTGGTTCTTCATTCCATTCCTTTCTTCTCATTCTTCCTCTCCTTCATTAATTCCATCCTCGGTCCATTCCCTCCTCACCCACCATTCCACCTTTGAAAGGTGGAAGAAAAGATTCTGAGGGGTTTGAAGAGGTAACGATTGCAAAGATTTAAGGGCACCCATTGCGTACTCCGTTGGTTACACCTCTGAGCATGTTCTTCGCTTACCGTAGAGATTGTATTCAGTACTTTATCATGATTCTGTGTTGATAATATGTCGTCATTCGCAATTCGCATACCTCGCTTCGTTAATTTGAATGTGAAATGGAAGATTTCTATTGAAGTGCATCAACATTTGTTTAGCAGTTTAAAATCGATTGTACTGCAGGTGTTAATCATCTGAAGAAACATTGATTTGGGAATTCTAGTAAGAGCACAAGTTCACAAAGCACTAAAGTAGCAGTTTAGGACGTTGCCTCTTGTACGTTGGGCATGTGAGCTGTGCTCAAAATTAGCGTATTTCTGAGGATATCGCGGATATTATGAAGATGCTATAAGGATACTGTTTCTGAGGATACTATGAGATAAACTGTCGAAGCATTCTTGAGGAAACTATCGAAGGAGACAGTTTTGATTCTGTTTGAACACCCCATTCTCATTCGTTGATAACTCAATGTTCACCGTCGAAATTTCCAATGTTCTTCGCCATTCACAAAAACTTACGCCTCGAAAGAATTGGGTCGGCTGAAATGAACTGATTCATTCGCTGAACTGATGTTGAAATGAGTTGATAACCATGAAAAAATGTTTGCTGGTAGATTGTTGTGTGACTCGTATGAGATGCTCGTCCGATGAATTTCATTGAATGACGCAGTGCATTGCTTTATGTCGATGAAAATTGATTTAACGACATTCAGAAACACTAAATGCTTTGCCAATGCGAGCGAGTCGAATCGCAAAGGAGGTAAACGAGTGAAAATGTGCGCATTAAACTGAAGTTTTTATGCGACAGGATTCGAAAATGGCTTCAGAGAGGAGGCGATACTTCAGAAAATAAAATAAAGGAATGTGCCTCGATTGAAGGTTTCATGGGTGGTGTGAGCATCGAACCCTATTATAATTGATCTCGTCATTGACGAGCCACTTAGTCATCGCTCGAAAAACACTCATACGTCACGTCACGCTTAATTAATCAAAATCCATTCATATTAAACAAAAATTCATCCAAAAAACAGATCACTCTCAATTTCCTTTCCGCTAGTTAACCAATGAAATGGAACAGAAGCTGGCCTCGTGCTAGCATTCAGGCTGTTTCAGTGTTGCTGAATATTCTATTCTTTATCCAGTAAGCTATTTCACTTATTCATTACCCAACTTCTTGGCACTCTTGCGATAATACACTGCTCGATGTTGTCATCAAAGGTTTATTATTGAGCAGCTGTTCAGTAAGCAACAAGTTGAAAAACATCGCTAATCGCCAATTAGTGTCTGTTCAGAAGTTTAATCAGTCAGTTCAATGATATTGATGATGGCTAATCAACGAATGACTTGATTTGTATATGATTTGATTGATCAGCCATAAAAAATGCTTGAATTAGACATAAATGTGTTTGATTTATGTGTGTGTGTGGGTTAAGCCAAGAGAACTAGAAATTTTATGAAAGCATACAAGTTTTGTGTGTGTATTTGATGCAAGCACAGTGATGAATATGCGTACATTAAT